GGATAGAAGTCTATTCACTTCATATTTCTTAGGGCAAACTCACACAAACGTTCTGTAAAACCCAGGAACATTAGGACACATGTCAGTATGGAGGGAGGGGCAGGAGTGTCTGCTCCTGGTAGCTGTGTGTGCTTCTCTCTGCTTCATCTAAAAGTGTTGAAGTCCAACCTGAGATGTATTTTGTGTCTGCAGGATCCCACTCAGACCAACGAAGAAGCGATGACACAGATGATCAGAGTCTCCTAACCACTGCTTCCAGGAGAAAAACACCTGGATGGAATTCCCAGCCCTCCTGCCAGTCTGTCCTGCCTGTCCAGTGTGTCCAGCGAGTCTTTGAGTGGGACAATCACCGTGTCACAGCCTGTCCTTTTCTACAGAACAAGCACCACGTGTTCAGGGTGTGGTTGAGATTTTAACAGAAACTTCCAGACTTCCTTGGTGCACTCTCCTGATCCAGCACAGGGAATTTGGAGTCTCACTACTCGTCAGCTGCAGCACAGGACTGTGTTTGCCCAGCAGAGACTTATTTCCATCCACTCCTGACACCTTTGGACTTTGTTTCCCTGGACTGGTCCCTGTTGTTGCACTTCTGGACCTGGCAGAAACTGAAGGGGATTCTTTTCAGTTCCACCTTGTAAATGTGTAAAACAACAAGCTCTTCTCGGGGAAAGGTTCAGCCATCCAGTCAGTGATAGAAATACTCAAGATTACTGCAGGACTTGGTGTATTGTGTGTCTGTTCCAAGAATTAAGGTGGGAGAGGGTGATGTGGGGAGAAGGATTTAATTAGTAAAAGCAATCTCTGGGGGGGTTTTATATGTTTGTTGCCAGTAGTTGTTGCTTTGGAAGAAAACTGGATGCGAGTATGAAAGTGATTTAAACTTTTAAGTGAGTCTCTTCCAAAGGGTTTTTTGTTTTAAATCTTCCCTCTAACCCGCCAGTCGAGTGCAGAGCTCCTCCAGAAGGCATCAAATCCTCAGTCTCAGAGTGTTGGCACTTGATCAGCTTCATGATGGTATTTCTTGATGCCCAGATCCACTCTACAATTCTACAGAGTGAGGGATGTTCCAGTACAGCAGCAGCTGGGGCAGCTCATCCCATCCTGAGGTACCTGAAGGACTGTTAGCAAATGAAGGCAGACACTGAAGAACCTTTCAGGCTTTATTATAGGTTATTCTCTTTAAAACAGAAAAAGAAGTGGCACTTAATGAAAGAAGAGTACTTAGTTTTAAAAAAAGGGACTTTTTCATGACCTACAGCTGGCTTTGGGCTGAGCAACTCCACAAACAGATTTATTTTTAATTCTGTAGCTCATTCCAGATTCTCAGCCTGCTCCATTCTTTCTGCTTTGAAATTTGGTGATAGGAGCAGTAGCCAAAAGCAGTTAACAGGTGATCTCACATCATTCCATGCCTGTCCCCCCCCCACCTTAATGAGTTTAAAACTGCTCTGTGTATCAGATGCCTGCTGGAGTCCCAGATCTTCCATTTTTTGTGTTCTGTGGTTAAAACTGGATCACAGCAGTGAAACTTGGGATTGGGAATATTCCCAGGTGAATATGAACCTGGACAGGTGAAGCTGCACAGTGAAGGGTTTGGGGGTTTTTGAGCAAAGCAGCCAAAGGTGGCTGAGACTGGGTGAAGTGCAGTGAACGTTGTTTTCAAGTGGAAAAGGAAGTAAATGCAGCTTAAAAAATAAACCCCACATTATTTCTTCCCCCTCCCCGCCCACGTTTTCCCAGTTACTGGAAGCTTATGACTAAAGACAGAGTGGAGGACAAATTAGCAAGTTGTGGATACAAAAGACAGAGCCTTGAAAATTCTATTGACTTAGTATAAAAGAAAAGTCCTAAACCTAAGAATATGAGAAAGAAGTGAGGGAATGCAAGAGCAGGGAGCAGAAATGTGGAGAAATGCTGGATTCTACATTGTCTGCAGGCAGTCCTGGAGGAAGAGGATGCCTGTCCAGGTACTAGGGGTGACTCCACCTGTGGAAGCAGATGGAGGAGGAAATGCAGGTGGGTGTTCATAATTGGGCAGCTGGATGTTCTAAAGGATTCCAGTTCATTTTTCTGAATTCTTAGCTCTGTGTGCCCTCCCCACGGTGTTAATGGCATGTTGATGGGTGCTTCTGCCTTAAATTCTTGCCCAATTCCAGTGTGGTGCTGATTTTCCTCAGTTGGCACCTGAAACCCTCACACAGCATTTCCTGGGAGCTCCCTCATTTCAGGAACATGCAGCTCCCTTAGGGAGTAACATATGCTTTAGTTGGGTTTGCAGCAGCATTGTAAATATTTTTTTTAGAGCATCTGTACATTTTGTTGGTGGAATATTTTAGTGCTGGAATAAGAGCCTCTCCATGATGTTTCTGCTGTTTAGCTGATGGTTAATCTCTGTCCTGAGGGAGCCTCTCTGAGAGCTGGAAATTTGGGAAGCAAGATTATTGCTCTGACATAGTTTTTGTTTTGGGTTTTTTTTAAGGAGTAATTACTTTTCTTAAAGAACTTGTAAGCTTCTTCTGAACAGGTAGAACTTGTTTCCCAATAAGCCCTTCATATCTAGGTTCTCTGATCCATTGTTGTAGAATGTGTATGAAGACACGGATTTGTGTTATAGAAAGTCTTATTGTTGATACTTTAAATAGTGATGTGACAGCCTGAGTGCTCCGGTCAGATTTTTGTTTGTTTTGGGTTATGTGTATCACTGCTGAAAGTCCTGTTTACTTGGTGAGACTGGAGTCACCAGTCAACACCACGGTACCAAAAATGTCTGCTTCCTTTTCGGGGGGAAATTTGTTAAATTGGAGACATCGTCCAGTTCAAACCTGTCTAGTAATTAAATGAGAATTCTTTGTTTATTGGCTACACTTGAGCAAAAACTTCAGGAGAGAGTAAAAGGGTGAGGATAAAAGAGGCTCGGGGAGAAATGTGGTCAATTGACCCAGAGCACCGAAGCAGTGAACCCCTCAAAAACCAGATTTATATGAGTGTAAAGAGTGAGATTTGGAAAAAAATGGTTCTCAAGTGATGCTAGATGGGTTTAAGGCCCTGCATGTTAAAAAGAAGGGAAAAATAAACTTTTCTTTGTGAATGGACAAGGGAGGGTCTTGAGGTTGAAGTAATGTCAGGCAAAGTTTGTATATAGTTAAAAGTTTATAATTTTTTTTATATGATGCATTTTTTCAAGTGTATTTTGGTCTTTAATAGATGCAATTGTAAGTACTGTGTACACTCTCCAGCTAATAAAATTTATAAACCGGGAAGCTTTTTCCCTGTATTTGGACGTTTTGAGTGACGTGGCAGCTGTGAGGGCAGGGGGTGGCTTTGGCCCCACTGTGGGGATGGCACGGCCATCTTGGCGTCCGTCTCCCCTCAGCCCCATCCCGCCATCTTGGC